CCCCTCAGCCTCCTTTTCTCCAAACTAGACAAGCCCAAAGTCCTTAGCTGGTCCTCGTAGGACATGCCTTCCAGCCCTTTCACCAGCTTTGTTGCCCTCCTCTTGATGCATTCAAGGACCTTTACATCCTTCTTAAATTGTGGGGCCCCAAACTGCACATGGTACTCAAGGTGAAGCCATACCAATGCTGAATACAGCAGGATAATCACCTCTTTTGACCGGCTGGTTATACGATGCTTGATGCACCTCAGGATACTTCAGAGCTTCTGCTTTTATTGTTTTTCAGAGCAAGTAAATTAGTTCTTAGCATTTTTGTGATGTCAACATTTGGCAATGTAATAATACTTTATTTCTGAAGTATATGCAAATCATAAAGTATATGATGGCTGAAAAATCATTATTCCAATATGTTATTGATTTTATATATCTAGAGGACCTGACACACAAGTAGCTAAACTGATCTGTCTAGTAAAATCCCGTTGTACTTAATCGAGATTTTGCCTCTTCTCTGCTCCTAGGTGCAGAAAATCCTTTTACTTTCAAGAACAAATCAGTTGAACTAAAGGAAAGAATCTATTTATCAGAAATAGTCACCCAGTTTTCTTCCTAGAAAAGGTAGAAGGTTGTTCCCTTTCTTAACCTAAGATGCCCCAGTACTTCTTTGTTTGTATGTGAATGAATAACAGTCTAAACATAAAAAGAAGTAGGCTTAAAATGCAAACAACCTTAGTATAATTCTCATTGCCTCCATCTAGGGTACATTTAAGGAATCACAGGCTGTAAAGCTGTAAGAGAAATCTAATTTCATGTATACAGATACCCTATGTTATAGGATTATGTTCAGTATGAATGAAATATGTTTGTTCTCAATAATCTCCAATTAAAGATATCCTAAAATCTCTGTTGATAATAACTTTCAGTGGTTCCACCACCTTCTTGTTGAAATTTTTTTCCAATTTAAATATTACTTCTGCAGAGCCATTGTAATCAAAACAGTTTATTACAGAACAACACTAGTGCAAGACAAGTTTTTTTCTTTAATCAATTTTTTTCCCCATGAGAAGTACCTAATCAGAAACAATGATCTGTGTTGTTAAACCAAACATAATCCCATTACTTGAATTAAGAATGGCTTAATGCTTGTTAAAACTATTTTGTTTGTGTTCTTATTACCTATTAAATTTGAGAAAGCACATTCAAAATGGTACTAATGTCTGATGTGTGGGGTAAATGTTCCTCTCTTCAAGTTAAACAGAGGACTTCATGTAGTTCTCCTGGGAGTGAAAGTTGGCAAGGAATTGTTATGGGTTTAGTTCATGACTATGTCTATTTTTGACAGATAGTTGTTTATATAAATAATAAATAACAAGAAATTCAAAGAAATGTATGACATAGTGGAAAATTAAGAGGACTGCAAAGGTGCTTTATTCACACAGTATTTAATTTCATAATCTTAAATAAAACTGTGTCATATATGAGGTTTTCTCTTACTAAAAGTTAATTGTGCCTAGGAAAAGAAACTGATGGCCACAGTCTCCATCCCAGATCATGCAATCACAGAGTCACAGGATAATTCAGGTTGGAAGGGACCGCAGGAGGTCTCTAGTTCAACTTCCTTCTCAAAGCAGGGTCAGCTATGAGATCAGACCATATCCATTCGGGTCTTGAAAACCTTCAAGGATGAAGACTGTGCAATGTCTATGGATGAACTGTTCAATTTGCTTGACTGTCTTCATGGTGAGGACATGGCACCATTTTTAAAAATGTATTTATATATTTGTTTGTTTGTATGTTTAGACAGGCCCATATCCAGCTGTGTACTAAGTCTGCTCCGTGACAGGCCTGATGTGTTAACAGAATAGGAGATGTTACTTCATTTTGTGGTTGGGGCTATAAACAAAGGTCACAGCTGCTTCACTGTTGTTGTGATTTAACCCCAGCCAGCAACTAAGCACCACGCAGCCACTCACTCACTTCCCCCCTCACCCAGTGAGACGGGGGAGAGAATGGGGGAAAAAAAAGTAAAACTTGTGGGTTGAGATAAGAACACTTTAATAGAACAGAAATGAAGAAACTAATAATGATTATAATAACAATAATAAAATGACAATAATAATAAAAGGATTGGAATATACAAAACAAGTGATGCTGACCACCTGCTGACTGATGCCCAGTTAGTTCC